TCACATATTCTACGCTACAGTAGAACTTCTACCTTTTTTACAAGTGCTATACTAACAATAAATGTTGTGCAAAAATATTTTTCTATTTTTATTAATAAGTAAAAAACTTAATCAGTAAAAAAAAAGGATTTTAATAAATACTTTAAAAATAGCTAGTATATCAAAGCTTCTTAAACTAAAATTCAAAAGCTCGTATATAAAATTTTATTTTTATTATGCTGTATTGCAATTTGTATAACAGCAAATAAAAAATATATACTTGATGCAATAAAGATGATGCCAAAGTCTGCTACTAAATATTGCATCACTATCATACTTAAATCAAATTTAATTCAATTATAAAAAAAGTACAATGTATTATAAGAAAATTGCAGAATTATTTTAAATCTTGATTTTAAGCTATAATTTAATATCTATTTTGTTGAATGCAGAAAATCTCAAAATCTAAGGTTATCTTTAACTAAAATAAGATATTTGTGTTAATTTTTTAGTTTCAAATTCAGCTGCAGTGTATGATGATATACTTGACTAATCTAGACGATATACTTGACTTTTACAACTGGTGCCACTGTATGACTAATGTTTCTTTTGCTTTAGAAAGCAATCAAAATTTCTTAAAAGTTGTTGCTTGTAACTTGCGATGTTTATGCAAATCGCAAGTTGTTGAATAAGCATTTTAAATGATTTGTTTATGCCTAATCCACCACATTAAAATATAACAACTCGTCACTGTCTTATTTAAATATGACTTATCCAACTTAAAACATATGGAAAAAAAGATCAATGTAAGGATGGTAAGATTATACAGTGGAACCACATTGCTTATATATTCTATGAAGACCTTTTTATTTTACCTAAACTTACTTTTGAGCATATAATGTTGGCAAAATATTTATTAAAAAGTGTTAACCTTGCTGCCTAAGTAATAAGTTTTTGCTGTATTAAAAACTTTATTACATTATGAAATAGCTTATTTGAAAATTCTTTCCAACACTAACGATCACTTAATGCTTGCAAGGGTAACCCATCATTTAACGACTTTCAATAATAACAAAATAAAAAATACTTTTAGTAGCTGAAAATGTATTTAGCTACACAGGTATTATAAAGTGGTAGTAATATAGTATTAAGTCATGCCAAAAAAAAAAAAAGATGTTATTAGATTAGTTTAAAAATAAATATTTTTTATATATGTAAAATAGCCATGTTGTCATTATTATTTTAAATTAAAAGACAATTGTATTATTTTTATTATTCAATCTTTTATTGTTGTTTTATTATAAAGTTATTACACCATAAAACTATTAAATATACATGAAGCATTTATTGAACTTACTCTAGGAGCTAATTATATACCAATAATATTTTTAAAAAATATGTGGCTATGAAAATAGTCGTTTTAGTAGGTTCAAGTCATATCACTTTTTCTTTAATGTTCTTGTTCCAGAATAGAAAGTGTTTTTTAATTGATGTTCTTTATATATCAATTTAGTTTGACTCTTTCAGGTTATATTTTGCAATGTACAATCTACGAACTTGTATGTAAAATGTTAGATGATTATGCATACTTAGCTGCAAGCAAATACGATAAACACTGCTCATTATACAACTTAGACATGTTAGAAAACCAATTGTAAAATTAGAGGTACCAAAAACATTTCCACTAAGTCATAATAGAATGTTTTGTTTAGTGATGTAGAGGGATACATGCTTAAATGTTATAATATTATTGATAAAAGAGGCACCAGTTAGATAAACAAAGACAAGATTTGCTACTTCAAAACATGAAAGAAATTGTTTTTTCAGAAAAAGTTTTGTAGAATCAATTCTACAAAATATTTTCTGAAAAAAAAAAATTCTTTCATGTTTTGAAAGCATTCATGTTTTGAATGCTACTTCATGTTCTTTCATGTTTTGAAGTTGTCATCATTTTTACTAGGAACTAAGCTGTAATGAACTCTTGAAATAATTGAAATATTTATACTTGATTTTAAACTTTTAATGCCAGCTTGTAGCAAAGTACTATTTATCTGAAGCAATCTTGATTAAATAATTGCAAAATCTAATAGGTTGAAGAATAATCTTTGCTTTTTTTTATTCTTTACTAAATGTTTATCAGTTTCTTGCAAAACAAACACATAAATATTCTTTCTTCGCTTTGGTTAGGATAAATTAAAATAGGTAGTCTAATGTTAGAACTAAAATTGAGATCTGCCTCCAACAAATAGCAACTCAATAACAGCTAAAACAGCATTGAATTCATTCAAATTTTCAAAGTCTGCGCTACAAAAAGTCATTTTAAAACATTTGATGCACTCTCAGTCCGGTCACCCCTTAAAACTCAAGTTATTTTACGCAATCGATAGAAAACGGCCCGCGTTTCCAGACTAGTTAAATACTATGAGTATGGTATAAGATATTTGTTTCTATAAGAGCAACCATTGTAAAGTGAGTATTTTTATAATAGAGAAAAAAAGCCTTACAATGACGTAATGATATTTCAGGGTTGCCAATTAAAGCAGATCTTATATTAAAAATAATGCGCTCTATTATTTATTCCTTATATAATAAAAACAGAAAAAAATGCGTTGGCACAACTACGGTAGTTTTATTTTATAACTATTAGTAAATTTATAGTATTATATAACTCATAAGATGTATTCTCTGTCCGAACTAGTAATAATATTAACATTCACAAGGCAGAAAAATAGCAGATGTAGCAGATGGAAATTTGAACTTGATTTTTAAGATTTCTACAAAGCAAATATTGGCATGTGGGTAGACGGGGGACGTTTTAAAAATCTTTAGTTTTTTTCAAAACTGTCAGCCATGGAGTTTTCAAGAGTTTTCCGTTTACAAGTAGAAAAGGTTTGTAATGAAAACTAAAATTCGTCATTTTTTTCTGTCTTCCCTTATTTGCGTCATCAATTATTAACAACTGATTTTTGTAATAATAAAAATGTAGGAAAAATTCACTACGAGTTCAAATCCGCAAGCAGTTACTGAAAGGCGTTCAAATCAAAAAGTTAATGCTTCAAAAGTAAAAAAACTAAATATTTATCAAAATTTATTGTTTATGTTTAAACTTCATAATAACATGCTTCCAACATATTTTTAGTCAAATTTCTCTTTAATTAATCACAGGTACTTAATAAGACATTTCGATTGCAGTTTTTTTATATTCCATCAACATTACTTATAAAATCAGACTAACCAATTAGTTGTCAAGGTCCACGTCTGTGGAATTCGATCCTGAATAATGACATAAAAAAATATCATCACATTAAAATCATTTAAAGAACAAGACTTATAAATTTAATAAAAATGTTATAAGTTTTTATTTATAACATTTTTTGTGTTTTAAATCGCATTTAATTATTTATATATAACTAATTTTAAACTTATATATTTTATGAACTTAAAAATGTAAAAATTTTAGAAAATATGTACTTAGAATAAAGTAAATTTTTCATTAACAAAGAATAAAGATGACCCCTGATTCCTCATGCCAGAAGTTAAATTTTTTTTTTATTTTTTAAAGAACATGGGAAAGTTACTTGTATAAGATACTTGGAAAAATATGTAAGATTCTTAAAACGATATATAAGATATTCATAAAGAATTTATTGAATATAAAAAGTAGAATAGAAACTTTAAACTTCAATGTCCAAATTAATGCAAGACTAAAATTTTTATAACGTTTAACGTAGAAAGTGAAGTCATTATTCAAAACCACTCATACTATTGACTGAGCTATATTTACGCTTTTTTAATATGTACATCCCTCCTCTTTTTGTATATATATATATATATATATATATATATATATATATATATATATATATATATATATATATATATATATATATATATATATATATATATATATATATATATATATATATATATATATATATATATATATATATACATATATATATATATATATATATATATATATATATCTATATATATATATGTATATATATATATATATATATATATATATATATATATATATATATATATATATATATATATATATATATATATATATATATATATATATATATATATATATATATATATATATATATATATACACACAATTGAATTACAAATTTTTGAATCACACAAAAAACACAAATAAGTCAATCGGCAAGTATAAGATTGTGTATGTGTGTTTGAGCCTTATTAGTGTGGTTGCTACCATTTTTCTTTTCTTTTTAAAAGTTTTTTTTTTTTTAATAATCAATTGTTTTCTCAATTTCAATGACTTGTATTATTTTACGTTGAGTTTACCTCTTTTTCTTTTTTTACTTTCAAGGTTGAGATCGTGGTCGAGATTTCATTTTTAAAACCAGTATCAAATTTTGAAAATTTAAAAAAACTTAATCTTTAGAATCTAGATAATGCAATTTATAAAATATTACATAATAATAAATAAAGATATAAACCTACCGTCTTTTGTCTTTTGCTAACTTTTGCTTTAATACCAATAAAATAACTAACGTTTTGAAACTAAACACAAAAAAAATTAAACCAAAATCTCTTTTTTATACAATGAGTTAGTTACGCCCCTCTCATAAACAGGCGACAATTTATCATCATTATTTAAAAGGCTTTTTGTTTTTTTAAGGTAAAGGTTCTCTTCTAGCGTGTGTGCAGGCGCCATATATAAATCAAAGAAAAAATCATGTTGAGAAATGCCCTTTTAAGTTAAAAAAGCAGTTTTAAATATATACAAACGAACACATAAAATATAGTTAAACATATTTTTTTGTATTTGTATTGCAGGTCCCCCATACATACCAGAAATCAAAAACAAACTACAATAATGCAATCATTTTTTCATATTGTCACATTGGTTTATAATCTTATGATTAATATATTTTGTTATAAAGATATTATTAGATATTATAAATTTTGTTATGAAGATATTTGTAAATTAATTAATTATAAAGTCAAGATAAAAAAACAAAGCATGTCAGTTTAAAGTTATTATTGTGTCAAAGAAATTATTAGAATTGATGAATTTTATTTAAAATTTCAGTATTTTTTAATGCTTTTCTTAGTTGGTATGTTAATTAATATATATATATATATATATATATATATATATATATATATATATATATATATATATATATATATATATATATATACATATATATATATATATATATATATATATATATATATATATATATATATATATATATATATATATATATATATATATATATATATATATATGTATATATATATATATATATATATATACATATATATATATATATATATATATGTATATATATATATATATACATATATGTATATATATATATACATATATGTATATATGTATATATATATACATATATGTATATATATGTATATATATACATATATATATATATATATATATATATATATATATATATATATATATATATATATATATATGTATATATATGTATGTATATATATATGTATGTATATATATATATATATATATATATATATATATATATTATATATATATATATATATATATATGTATATATATGTATGTATATATATATGTATGTATATATATATATATATATATATATATATATATATATATATATATATATATATATATATATATATATATATATATCTGGTATTAAGATGCTCCCAGAAGTCCTTACGGTCTTATTGCAGAACACCTTATCTGCGCCACGGCTGACCTTAACCCTGACTGATAACAACAATTATACATACATAATTATATAAACATATATATATATATATATATATATATATATATATATATATATATATATATATATATATATATATATATATATATATATATATATATATATATATATATATATATATATATATATATATATATATATATATATATATATATATATATATATATATATATATATATTAATATTGGATGAAATCAATGTACTTTTATGATTTAATTTTTAATGCTAATAGATATGCATACGCAAATGCTTGATTTATTAAAAGATGTAAAATGTACTTTTAAGATCTATATTGCGAGAAATAGAGAGACTGAGAAAAAAAGAAAGACAGAAAGAAAGAAGAGAGGTTAAATAATCAATATAACTAAAAACAATTTAATGATGTCATTAAAATCTTCTCACCGGGTTAATCTTCCAACATACGCACATGTGTATAATTATTTAAAAATTTAAGTCCTGTGTTTGTTTTACGTAAACTGCCAAAATACAAATAAAGCTTCTAGCATTGATTTCTTACTATTCAAATAACGTAAGAAATAGATCGTAAATTCATTTTTAATGCAACTGCATAAAAAAAAAAAATAACAAAAAAATAACAAATAACAAGTTGCGACGTCAAACGTGAATGTAGTATTACCACAGCCTTGCTTTCATTTGAGATTTTATTCACTTCAGAGAATTTATTTATTTTTACAATCAAAGAGTCATTTAAGAGCGTCTAATTCAATCTATGTAACGACGCTTCTTTAATTTTATATCTATCTCAAATATTTATATAGAGCTAATAAATATTTATTTCGAGTCGATAATATTTTTACGTAGTAAAAGAGTAGCAATAATGTTTGGTGTCCAACGCATGTCCTTAATCAATAAATTTGAGCATACTTCTTTTTTATCCTTCTTTCATATCTTTTATTGTTTGCCGAAAGAATAAGTTTTTTAAATTTTGTTGCTACAGTTAATAAATATGTCTTCCCCTAAATTAAAATCTCTTAGCTTATTAAACTTAAGCTTTGTTAAACTTTGTAAATAAGTTTTTTTTAGTGAATTTTGCAAAAATTTTATGAAATAAATTTAGCTTATTTTTTTTTGTATTGTTTTCAATAATTTGTTTTACACATTGTTTTACTAGTAAAACAATGTGTAAGTATTACATCTTTTTTATTACATCAATCTTTAACAAATTTAATTCAAACAGCTTAATTAATAATCTAAAAATGACTTCTTAATTTAAAAAAAATGTATTGACAACAATGTCATTTTTGATACAGGTTATGACAAGCGGAGTCGTTTTGATGGAGATGGAGTTTTTAATGGAGTCGCGCATGGAAGTTACGTCATGATAAGTGGAACCACGTATAGAACTTGTAATATTAAAGAAGCACGACACAAAACTGTAGATCTCTGAATTTTTGAAAACTCATACTTGAAGTAGCGAACATGGAGTTTCTTATTTTAAGAAATGCATTCTACTAATTCTGAAGTTTCAAAAAGTCATATTTGAAGTAGCGTACATGGACTTTCTTAATATAAGTTGTCTATTCAAGCTGCTCATCTACACGAGTAAAGAAAAATATACAATTCAAAGATAAAAGAGATAAAAATGGTATAGGATATAAATATCGATGTAAATAGTGTTAATAATAATGATGGCACTAGAATGGAATAGTAATATGGCAGAGTTTGTAAATAATGAAAGTGAAAGCGCATTTGAAAGGGTATTCAAAGAGAAAGTGTATTAAAGCCAGTTAAGGTACTAAGTAGAAACTCAGAATGTGTAGAAATAATCTTGGCGTTTCTGACTTGAAGAAGTATTTACAGTTGAGGTTATTAATGAACAAACGAAAAACATTTTATTAGCATTTGCTATCAACTTACTAGCTGTTGCTATCAACCACCGGATTGAGCTAAATTTTAAGCATGTTCTTACCAAAAAAATTGTACTAAAATGTTATAATAAAATGTAATAACGTGAAAAAGAAAGTTTTTCGTTTTGGAAAACTTGAATTGTTTGATTTTTATGATTATGCAACGATTTCTGAATTTGAAGCAATTCCATTAATAGATTGTCCTAGCCCAGAATAACAAAAGATTCTGAAAGTCCGCAGTATTATTACCATTGACATCTTTAACAATGATTTGAAAATAGGCAATACGAGAAAGTATTTAAAAACGGATACAACTGGAATATTACTAAATTAGCAGAAAACAAAAAACTTAAACACTTTGCGAAAAGACTCCAGCGCTTAACCACAAGGTTCAAGCACTTAGTCACAAGACACAAGCACTTAGCCTCAAGATTCAAGCACTTAGCCACAAGAATATTTTCAAAAAAATTTATTTTATGATTTTTTTAGTACCTATTGATAAATTTCAATAAATTTAAGTTTATTTTTCAAATTAATTATCTTCCAAATTTTCATTTGATAAAACTTTTCAGCCTTTTCAGTCAAACAGTTTAGTAATAAAAAAAAAAAGCACAATGAAATAAGTTTACGAAATAAATGGAATTATTGGTAATAGTTGCAACAAACAGTTGTTCTTTTTTGAAGTTTTTAGAACTTCAATTTATCAAGAAATTTTCCCTAAACATTTAAAAACTGTCAGAGTTACCTCCTGATAATAAATAAGACGACAGATTAAAAACCATTAATTATCGTCCTAACTGCAAACTTTTTTAAGTTTAGAAAGAGCTGTGTTTAACAAAATGTAGAACGATTTAAATTACAATATCTTACTTTATAATAATCACTATGCTTTAAAAAAAAAGTAGTTTAACTGAACATGTAGTTGTTTAATTTGTACATAATATCTTCATATCTTTTATCAATATATATATATATATATATATATAGCGTTTTTGATTATCTATCAAAAGTTTTTCATTATAACGCATTCTTTGGTTTATTTATTGATTTAAATAATTGGTTTATAGGATAGTTTGAAATCTATTTATCAAATCGTAAGTAATTTGAGTATGGGTATGATGGACGTCAAATGTGAAAAATTTAAATGATGGTCAGACGTCAATGTGAACTCTTAAATTCAAATGACAGTGATCCACAAGTTTCTGATCACTGCTTTAATCTATGTAAAAAACATGAACAAAACTTCTAAACTAAAAAAGCATGATATTTGCAGATAATGCTAATCTTTTCCACAAAAATACTAATCTCATATTGATTACTTCATTAAAAAAAAAAATCAACTCACACTGATTCATGAATATGAACGAAACAAAACTATTTACGAAATAAATACTATTTTTGATTCTTCTTCAAAAAATATTTTCTACCAAACAATATGCAAGAAAAATCTATAGAAAAAATTGTAATAAAGTTTATTTTAGTGAGAATATTAGTTGGACATATTGACTCCGTTTTTATAAGCACCAAAGTTTCTAAAAATACATTTTATATAAAACCCGTAGTATTTAATGTTACCTGTTAGCTACAACATTGTTATAATAAAAGTATAAAGATATGTTATAAAAAAATTGTATCTGAATTAATAATCTAGGAGCTGGCGATGAAAAACATTTGTTTGTAAGCATTTTGTCATATTTTCCCCTTCAACATCGCTGAAGGCAAACAAGTGAGCAGAATATTTTTCACAAGTAAGAAATTTGTCACAAAATACCTAATGATGACGAAGTTTTATAATGTTTTTCAAATATAATTTATTCAGCATGTAATAAAGCAAAAATCACTGTATCCTGAACATGAAACTCCATTTTTAACTAAACTGCTACACTTTCATTTTTAGCTAAACACTTCCAAACAGATTTTTTCTTATCAACAATATTGTAACTAAAAATACCATTGTAATTTTTCTTGTATATAAAATGCTAAACTTTCAAATGTAAAAGAACAAAGAATATAAGTTTTAACTAATTCTTAAAAGAAATCCGATGCCATCTCACAGCATTAGCGTAATTGGTATCGTTTTGCAAATGAGTACGCAATATTATTAAAATTTCTGATTGAAGAAGCCAATTTTTTAGAAATACAAGTGTTTTGCTTTATAAAGTAAACACCTTAAATATCGTAGTGGTGAATATTCATTAATAGGCCGAGCATAATGGAGCATAAAATGAAACTTTTTTGTAAAATTATTTGGAAAAAGGTGAACAAAATTTTGCAAAAACTAGTCCACTAAAAATTGAATATACGGTAATACAGCTTTGAATATACGGTAATACAGCTTTGAATATACGGTAATACAGCTTTGAATATATAGTAATACAGCTTTGAATATACGGTAATACAGCTTTGAATATACGGTAATACAGCTTTGAATATAAAGTAATACAGCTTTGAATATACGGTAATACAGCTTTGAATATACGGTAAAACAGCTTTGAATATAAAGTACCGTAGATGGGGGTAACTAAAGTCTACGGGGAAACTAAAGCCATTATAGCAGGTAATTTTTGGATGGTGATAGTGGCAGCACTGTTTGGATTCAACAGCTGATGTTGTGTTCTTCTAATAGGAACTTGGACTGCTTTCCAAATACTTGTCTGGATTATTAAAACAATATCACGGTAAGTGTACAGTAAAACTATATATTTAACCTAAAAAATCGATAAAAAAGTTACCTTGCATAACTTCTGCTCTGAAAAAAATCATTTTTAATCTTAAATTCTCATAACTCTCAACAAACATAACCTCAATTTATGTTTCATCACACCTTTAAAGGTTATAACCTATAACTTGATTCTTTCTTTTGTTGTGATGTTTTTTTTTTCAGTGATACACAACATGAGGTAACTAAAGCCACATCATAAAGGTGGCTTTTGTTACCCCATACTTTATAATAAGTCAAAATTCCTTAAGTAATAAATTTTTTCTCTTTTTTAGGACTAAAAATGCCTCGAAACCCAAAGAAGGAGCTTGGTAGCCGGAAGTATAAGGATTACACAGATGAAACGCTGAAAATAGCTGTAGAAGAAGTGAAGAAAGGGTCATCTTTAAGAAAGATTGCTGAGAAATTTGCTATATCAAGATTTGCTCTCACTGCTACCCTGAAAGGTAAGGTTAACAAATGTGGTAGGCCTCCAGTTCTTAATTCTGAAGAAGAAAGAAGATTAGTTGAATCTATAAGCATGGCCGGAGAGTGGGGGTTCCCTCTTACAGCACTAGACATAAGACTAATAGTGAAAGGTTACCTGGATCGGTGTGGTCGAAATGAAGTTAGGTTCAAAAACAATATGCCTGGAGTTGATTTTATTGACAGTTTTCTCAAAAGAAACAGTAAAGATCTTTCCAAACGGTTGGGTCAAAACATTAAAAGAAGTAGGGACATCGTGAATAACTGTTTAATGAACTAGAAAAGACATTAAAAGATGTTGATCCATCAATGATAGTAAAGGAGAACTTAAACCTGATATTTACGTCATTGTTGAGCTCATCTTTCATAAGAACACAAAAAAAGAAACCACCAAACAGTTCTATGGAGTCATTCTTAGAACTTGTTTTGAGAAGAACGAAGTTACAGTAAAGTTTTTCAGAAGAAGCTCCAAATCAAAAGGAAATGACTATGTATTTCTAAATGTTGATGACGAAATGGACATTCAGTTAACAGACGTCATTTCAATTGTGAAACCATCCAAAGTAAACAGAGGACGTTATACTTTTCCTTATGAACTACCGGTAAAGCACTGATTTCAACAAGACCTATTTTAAATAATACTTTTGTCTCTTTTTAATGTTTTTCTTAAATAATAAAGCTTTTTTCTTGTCAATAGTGGTTCTTTATTGTTACAGATGCATGATTTATGGATTTAGTTACCCTAGCACTCTCTAACTAAAGCCAAACATTGCTTTTTAATGGATGGCTTTTGTTACCCCTTTTCCAGGGATAACTAAAGCCACCATGTTTTCATTTTTTTATTAAAAAAATGTATATCTCTGCAATTTATGAATATATTTCTTTAATATATGACCACAGACCCAAGTTAATATAATCATATTACATCGTAAAATAAATGGAACTGGTTTATTCAATCTGTTGTTTCTACCTTATTCAAATATGATAAGTTCTAAATTCATCAGTTCAATCGAAATCAACTTATATTCTTTAAGTCTTAACAATATTAAACAAATTAATTGTGGTATCTTTCAGCATGACATGCATGTTTGGTGGAAACGATTGCAAAACTTTAAAATACGATAAATCTAAAAAAGAACAACGTCTTTCAACACTGTACATACATGATAAAATCTGACCTTGGTTAAAAATAGCATCCAAGTTAAAATAACTCATTTCATCACGTAGTATTGCACCAATCTTAAAAATTATTTCACTCTTGTTAATTTAAGAAGTCATGCAATGACGACAAAAGAAACCAGAATTAAAAAATCGACGAAAACCGGTTAGTACATTGGCTGAAAGTTTATCAGCAGATATTGTTGCTAAGTAACCAAACAGTATAGTATCTGTTGGTCATCAACCATAACTAATATACCTTTATTTTGTAATGTTATAAAATCGTAAATGAAAAGTTTTAGAACATCCTTGTATGTTCTATGTTTGTTTATTTTTTCACAAGTTTAAGTAACTATATTTTTTTAAAGTTTAAGTAACTATATTTTTTTAAAGTTTAAGTAACTATATTTTTTCAAAGTTTTGATTTTGATACTTTTATACTTTTATACTTATGAAAAATGTTACTGAGGAAAAAGTAAGATGGATAGAGTTAGAGCTTTGTGTAATGAGTACCATTCAGATTGCATACTTCAATTTCATCAGTATACAAATAGAGTTTTAGAGCATAATTATTGTTGAAAATGTTATGGTGGTTGCAAATAAAACCATCTGAATATAAATGTAGTGAAATTGTATTCTCAGGCAGATTATTTTCTGGTGATCACAAGATAGAATTCCATATTTCTTCTTTATCAATTAACTTTATAAGCAGCGATAAAACTGGAACGTATTAAAAAGGTTCTTGAAATTTATTATTATTATTATTATTATTGAAAGTACAAGTTGTATCAAGAAAAGAATTTCCAATATTAGCAGCACTTTTAGTTAAACCACCTTGATCGTTGTTGTGGCTTTTTCGAAAAGTCATCTTTACATAAAAAATTGCATAGATTGGACTTCACGTCAACTAAGTAAATAAATTTACATATAATCTTAGCGCACAAAAAATTAAAAATATCTGCTTGTTTTGGTTGATTATTTTGATATTATTATTTTTGGTTGGTTATTTATCGTTTAAAGATATTTTACAATTTTCTATATTCCATACTCTTTGATCTATAATCTATACAATTTTAAAATAAAAGAAAATTGAGTTTAGTTATTAAGTGCAATTAAGTTGCCAGTATAGTGAGGGAATTTAAACAAAAGATATCAAAATTGCAAATTTGAATACAAAGTGACTTTTCATTTTATAGACTTTATTTATTTATTTACTTATTTATACAGCATAGATATTACAAATCATTGCAGTGTAGGATTTTTGTAATCCTACTATAGTAGCAATTAGTTAATTATTTGTTGCGTGATGAGATATCATATTTTTTCTTAAATTTGTCAACTGTTTTTGATGTTACTAACTTATTTGGTAAATTGTTCCATTAAGGTATTATCTTTGTTGTTCTTCTCTAAAATTTTAAAATAAACCTTTTAGAGTTGCAGAAAAATTTTTTGAGTTTAGATGTTACTAACATCAAATTACTTAATTTTTTTTTTAAAATATTGGATGAGGTTCCCTATAATTCTTCTGGTTTCGAGACTTTTTAACCCTAAGTTTGATAAATGTTTTCATATTAATTGTAATTTAAACCTGGTACAAGCTTGGTACAACGAGTCAGTTAACCAGAATTTAGATGCCCGCTTTAATGTACCTAGTTTTGAGTGAGCTTTTTTAGTTATTGTTGTGATGTGGTCTTTCCATTTTAAATTATTACTTATGTTGATGCCTAGGTCTCCTTCCTGTACTGTTTCATTCAATTTGATAATTGTTCCATTATGGGTTGTATATATAACTATTCAGATTATTACTTATGTTGATACCTAGGTCTTGTTCCCGTGTTGTTTCATTTAATTTGATGATTGTTTCATCATGGGTTTTAAATACAATCATTTATATACACATGGTGTATACATTATTATATAATGTATTTGTGATGTATACATATTTATAATATGTGTGTGTGAGTGTGTATTGATAAATAATGTATACTGTTGGAAATACAGCTCTAAAAGGAAAAAAATGATGCCGTTGCATCACTAAACTTGTATTTTTTATAATGGTTTTATATTTAAAAATAATATGGCTTAAGATTGCCAAAAGGCATGAAACTTAAAGTTCCATTATAAAGATTTATTTTTTTATTTAAATTATTATATATATATATATATATATATATATATATATATATATATATATATATATATATATATATATATATTATATATATATATATTTATCTCTTTTTTGTTTTGTACCGTTAGTAATATCCTGCAAGATTTTCCAATCAAAGTATGCGATTATTGGAATATTACTTTGATTTGCAGCTTTTATTATATCTTCTCGATATTTAGCTGCACTTGTACTTATTGCTTTCTTTTTTGCACCTCTGATAGTAGATTCAGAAAGCGAAAAACCTGTCAAACTGCCCCCAGAAATAACTATATTTCTAGCATCATATTTTTAGGTGAAATAATTTTAGAAATACCTTTAATTGCAACTTTTTTTGCAAATTTTTTAGGTAATATTGTTGAAGCACTTATGCCTCATTTAATTTTGTCTGCTGAATAGTCGGAATCCTTACAAGATGAGACCTCACTTTGGTTCTGATGATAAAAACTCAATTTTCTCAGTTTGATCCTCTTGTTGCTCAATAAATCGCAATCTTCTTTCTTCTATCTTTTTCTGCTTTCAGCAATATGCTAAACTCTTTGAACCAAGTGTCATTTTACGTTTCCTCGTTTGATCATTTAATAATTGCCTATCTGAATTGAATGAATTTAGGTTGTTTCCATGTTTCTTCTTCAAAATGGAGCAAATATCAGGTTTTCCAATCCAAAAAACTTTCTTAGCATTTTTTTCTAAGATGTTTCTAGCTAATTCTGCTGCGTTGCCTTTTTTATTGTTATTTTTTTTCAACGTTGCCTATTTTTCAACTAGATCATTTAATATTTTCCTAGAACATATAATATTTTTAACTTTTTTCTAACTGCTTTAAAACTTTTTAATGTAATGTTTTAATCAGAGGCAGAGTGAAAACAGTCATGTTAACAAATTAAAATAAGCAAAAGAAAAATTAGGTAAAAATAAAAAAACTATAATTAAAGATTATTTAGCAAATCTGATGTGTTTATTATGAAATATGCCGCTGTCATATCCTCCATCGATCCACGGTTTCTATATATAGCAAAAAGGATGCAGTTCTAAAGACATATTGCTAGGTTAGAACATGCTGACATCATTTTATCTTGGGAAGTACAACCAATTAAAGTTTTGGTGGGATATTTTAGTCGCCATTTTGACGCCTGAGTTATTAAGATTAAGTTTAGATTTTATATATT